AAATTCTCCATTTCTCAGGTCAAGACGTGTAGTTTTTCTCCTCTCCTTGCACCCTCTGTGGTTTGTGTAAGAGGATGGAAGATGTGGCGGGGAGATATCTGTGTGCTTTCTATTCCATCCTTGCCCACCCTATGAAAACCACTCAAGTGCCAAAACGTGCTTCTGCCTTTCTGTTACCTGTTGACTCCCCAGCATTTACTGACTGCTTTCTCAGGTAACACTTTGCCTGGGGAAGATCTGCGGCATTTAGCAGTGGTGGCCCCCAGAAAGCATGCAATAAAACCTCTCCTGAACTTTTGCCCTCTGAACTGTAAGGCCAACCTGTCAAGGAGGTTTGTGCAAGCCCTGATTGACGCGAGTGGGAGGGCTATGTGCCCAGGGCTGCCGAGACAGAGCCATTTATGTGGCCAAGCAGCAAGCTGGAGGCCTTGGATGTCCCTGCATCCTAATTCCTCCCCACACAGGTGCTGGGTTGGCTCCCTGCACACAGGAGCTGCTCTAGCCCCAGACAGCCCCAGCACAAGGCACACCATGCAATGTTTAACCCACTCCTTAACCTCCTATCTTGTGAGTCCAACCAGTAGGGTTGGAGGAAGGACAGACAGCCACAGGTGATTGCATCTCTTTGTTTCCTCTCCAGGCCTCCTCCCCTGAGCGGCAGCCTCATCTCTGACATCTCCCTCATCCGTCTGTCTCCTCACCCTGCCGGGCCTGGTGAATCACCCTTCAGCCCACCGCACCCCTATGTGACGCCCCACATGGAGCACTACCTCCGCTCTGTCCATGGCAGCCCCACGCTCTCCGTCATCTCCGCTGCCAGAGGGCTCAGCCCCGCTGATGGTAAGAGACCTGCCCCACCACATCCTGCCCGTCCCACCATGAACGGGATGCCTACATCGTGCTGTTTGTATTGCAGTGATTTTGTAGCTCACCAGCATTGATGTGCAGCTCAGAGATTTACAGCTGTGAAGGCTCCACAGCTGCTCTCTGAAGTGGGAAAGCTGTCTCCTTTTCTTCTGCATTTTTTTTTCTTCTCTTCCTCCCCTTTAACTACACATTTGTTTTGCATCATTGCGCTGAGAAAGCAGAGCGTGAGAATAGCTATTACCACTAGATCGTATTATAAATATTTTGCTTAAAGTATGTTCCTTTCTGCAGAGCTCTCTGCTCTCTTATGAGCTGCCTCACTCTGATGTCTCTACCAGGAACCTTGCTCCTCTCCAACAGGGTCATGATTGCCTGGGTGCTGCCTGGGATATCTCCCCTTGGCTTCATTTCCTGGGATGTGCAGAGCTCCAAGGCAGAGGAGAGGGCTGTGCTTTTTTCCTCCTTGCTCCTGAGCTGCTTTGCTGAAGCTCTCAGGAGAAGGCGAAGGTGTGTGGAGGTAGTGGTACCCACCCAGTCCAGACAGACCACACCATGGTCAGTGTGGACACCAGGTTCCCTGTATCTGGGACCAGAGGATGAGAATGGCCAAGCAGGGAAAGGGGAAAACACAAAGCTTTCCTGGGAGAGTTCCAGGACCTCTTTTAAGAGGTTTGCTTTTTAATAACTGAGATAGGTCTTCAAATCCTACCATTCATCAGCTCCTGAGCCACCACAGGGACAAACAAGGCACACTAGAATGAAGCAAGGCCCTGCTTTACTGTCTGAAACTAGTAAACCATTTTCTGTGGATAAAAAACATTGCTACAGCAATGAGGAGATAGATGAGAAGCCTCCCTCCCTTTCCCAGAATGAGGTCATGATGTAGGGTGCTTCCTCTCCATGGCCTCACCATGATGAGCGCCTGAGTTCCCTGCTGCACTGAGCTGTGAGCGCGTGTGCTCTGCACCATCCTCCCCCATCAAAGCTGGTTTTGTTATTTGCTATGAAAAAGAGGCATTGTGTTTTGGGTTCCTTTTCTTTTCCATTTTTATTTTTTTTAAGGCTGCAGTAAATAAGTTAATGGGGCAAGCGGGTGGGAAGGCAGGTTTGAAAAATTACAGCTGGAAGAAAGTGAGCGTAATTGGCTTTGGCAGCCAAAATGGTTTTATGCTGCCAAACACTAAACCTAGCTCTATGCATTAGACCTTGGCTTTAATTTCCTCACACTGCTATCGGGAACTGTGTTGCATTTGTCTTTCCTCCCTAATAAGCAGAGATGTGGATGCTGACAGGGTTACTGCTGCCGACGGCCAGGCCCTCTCCCCCCTTCCCGGGGCGACGGCTGCGTCCAAACGGGAGGATTATTAAAAGGGGGAACGAGAGATTGTTTATAAATTTGCGGAAATAGAGGAATGCAGAGGCCCCAGCTTAGTTTCTTTTGTCCACAAAAAACATGCCCAAGCACACGTCACAACCACGCTGAGCAGGGCTGTGCAGAGAGGGCTGGTGGGGGTGCGGGGGGAATGTGGCCGCCCACCTCGGCGCCGAGGTCTAACGTCCTCTGGGAACCTTCTCCCCATGTTCTCCTCTTCGCTCTCGGCTTCAGCAGTGGCTCATGAGCATCTGAAGGAGCGAGGCCTCTTCGGGCTGCCCCCACCGCCACCGGGAGCCAACCCAACCGACTACTACCACCAAATGACACTGATGGCCGGCCACCCCAACCCCTACGGGGACATCCTCATGCAGAGCGGCGGAGCAGCCAGCACGGCCCACCTCCATGAGTACCTCAGCCCTGTTGATGGTGAGTAGCAAACCACGCCACCGGAATCTGGGGCATTCAGGTGGGACTGTCCTCCAGGTGGAAGTTGCTGGATGAGGTCACCCTACCCTGCTGAAACCCATAGGCATTACACTGATTGTTGGCTTGAAACATTATTTTGTTCCATACGTTTATATATAGAATATACCTAATTTAAAGCAGATAAGCTGCAGGGCTTTTGGAAGGGCTGCTGCACAGGCAGGAGGTAGCTGATTGTTGCCGTCCCGCTGCCTTGGCCATGGGCAACCACTGTGTGCCCCAGGCTGTGCTCCAGCTCCCACTTCCTATCCCACCATTTGGTCTGGCCAGTGTCTGGGCTGTGGGCTGGTGATGTCCCCTTATTGCCATGTTCAGCACAATCTCCTCTGAGTTTGGGGCCTGTCGGGGTGGCTGTAAAACAAACCCCCCAAGGAGGAAAATTATGTTAACAGGGAGCCACGGTGGGGAGGATTGTGTTCGTATTTCGTGGGAGAAAAAAATTGCTGGAATGCTGTATTTATACTACTATAAGTCATTAGAAACCCAGAAAGTTCTGGCTCATTGCTAAATGAAGAAGTAAAATGATGTTAGGGACGGCAGTGCTGAGTCACCCCCAGCCTGGCCGCTGCCCTGACATGATGGGTAATGTTTATGTGGAAGGCTGTCTGAAGGCTTTTTTCATCTGAGATTTTTAGAGCTGCTAGAAATTTCTTTCCCTTTATGCTATCTCTCATAAGAACTGGGGTTGCACAGATACGGAGATTGGGGATTATTTCTGCTGCAGGAGAGAGAAGGCTCAGCTTTCAGCTCCCAGCTTCTGTCTGCTGGGCTGCCTTTGGATTTGCCTGTGGACCATTATAATTTTTGGAGTGGAGTTCTGCATCATTTCATTACCGCTTCAAAGTTTCTGTTGTTGAGCTTTTAAGATGAAAGACTGTGGTCTTGCTGCTTTGTAAAGTGACTGGTTTAGAATGATAAAAGCTGCTCTTGGCTGTTCAGTGATAGCGGCTTTATGGATATTTCTAACTAAAAAAATCCAGTTTCTCGTCTGCAGCTGCTGCCAAAGTTTTACCTGAATAGTCCTTTTCTGTTCCTAGACTGATTAGGAAATTGTGTCCTGGGTTGAATGGGAAAGCACATGCTCCTTGATGCCATCCTGCTTCTAACACCCAAAATATGTTCATAGTTTCTCTTCCATGAAGCAGCTTGTCAGTAAAGCTGCTCGCTGTCTTCCATCTGAGGGGTTAATCTCTGTGGTTATAGCAGATGGGTGCAAATCGGCTCTGCCAAGTTCTCTTTGGGCCCTTGAACAAGACTCCTTCCTCCTTGCCTCCTTATTAGTCCATCTCTGACCAGCAGTGCCTTGCTGAAGCGCCAGATAAACAGCCAGTAAGAGAAGCAAACACAATTGTTTTCATGCTAGCGCAGGCTCAGTACATCAAAATGCCCATCCTCTGAGTTTGCTGAAAATCCATCTTTATCTGAAGTCATCTGAGCTGTTCCCCTGAAGGAAGACTCTCTTCCTTCCTGGCTTCTGAAAATGGCTCTAGAGTAAATCACGTAACAGAGGTCTTGATTTCATGCAGCCATGCTCATAACCGTGACTCTTCAGAAAGCCATAGCTTGCCAGGCATTATTTTGATCTTTCACTAAAGCTTTGTTAATCAGTAACTGGTAAGGTTTTTCTGGACCTTCATGCACTCCGAACGAGATGAAATCTTTCATACATCATAAGGATGCAACATGAGATATGGGAAGGCTACTTTTTAAGAATGTGAGTAGGAGCAACAGCTCAGTACCACATTCTACACATTCAGCTTCACCCATCAGCCCAGAGAGGTTCCTGCTTTGGTTTATCCTCCCTCACTGCCCCTACGTGTGGTGCTGTTGCGGGTACTGGGATCACCTGTGGCCCATTGAGGCATATAAAAGCATGTTGGAAGTCAGAGGAACTTAAAGTCATAAAACCATTAAGATTGGAAAAGACCTCTAAGATCATCTAGTCCAACTATTCATCTACCGCCACTAAACCACATCCCAGGTACCACAACTTAAATACTTCTGTTTCCCATTTTAGCATTTCTTATCATCAAATCTGCATCCTGAGACATAGGGGTGCCTTACATAGGTTGGCATTTTGTTGGTGGGCTTAATGTGTTATCCCCAGTGAACTGTTCTGTCTGATGATGGAGGCTCAATGCCAGCATGAAGAGAGAATTGTGCATTACTAAGAATGTTAAATGAATTGCTATGAAGTTCTGTCTGAAGAGCTGGAATATCCCTCTCTGTTTAGAAAGCTATTTCAAAAATCCAAATCAGTAGGGAGTAAAAAAAATAGTTGAACAGATAATTTAATAAGGCATCCTCTTATGGTTTTTTTCTGAGATGGGAATACGGGTAGCATGCATAAAACCCAGTGAGTCACTGTCCTGCAGCATCTTTCATTGAGAGAGCTCTTTTCTTCCTAGAGTCCTAGAATGTAAGAACTTTATAATAATTATTTCGCTAGTTGCTGAAATGCAGGTACTTCCTGTTAGACCCCATGCAGCACATCTGTGACAACTCTGGCACCTGCAACAGCAAAAGAGCAGATAAGTGTATCAGAATAATAATTAAAAAGCCTGTTCATTGTCACATCACCTCCAAACATCTGCAAGTATGTGGAAGTCCACGATACTGAGCATGATCCTTCTACAGACCTGAGCCCTTCATATTACTCTTATTGCACTTCTTGGAGAATCTCTCTTCTCACAGCTGATGCTGTGTGTTTTCACTGCATCAGGTGTGCAAAAAGATCAGAAAAGTAATTGGGCATCAGTGTCAGCTGCAGCCTGTTGCAACTGACCAACTGTCTGTTGAGTGTTTACATGGCGACTGAGCGAGGATGCCCCAGAGTTGCATCTCTTAGCAGGTCTTTACTGTGCCACTGCATCAGTAGTCAAACCACTAAAGTAAACCAAACCAGACTGCTTCAGTCTGCTGGCCAGTGCCAGTGAAAATTAATAACCCTCCAGTTAGCTGTCCTGTTGCATTCTGTCCATCCAAGCAGGGACTCTAAATCCAAGAGCAGAGCTTGACTCCACTCTTAAATCCAGTTGTCAGAAAGCCTGCATTTTCAAATCAAATGTTAACTCCTCTCCAGTGTCACAGCATTCCTGGTGGGACACTTTTAAAACTAACTGGCAGCATCTGCTCACCAGAGCAGATCTCTTTTCTAGACATGGGTGCCATGCAGTGGATTATTCCAGGTAATGGGGTACGGAAGGCACCCATGGGGCAGGAAAGTCTGAATGGAGAGCTCTCATCGTTACCTGCAAACCTTCAGGAAATGCCATTTCCTCTAGCCTGACTTGATGCTTGTACTCTTATAGCTCTGTACATCAGAAGATCTATGAATATTGTACAAAGCAAAGCTGTTTCACCATTGGAGACCCTGCAGAGATAGAAGACAATATGATCATTGCATATTGCATTAGCTGCTCCAGGAGCAAGATCTAGGTCTTTGGAATAAGGATTCTCATGGCCAGAGAGGGAAGAAGAGTTTATCTTTAAAGCCATCACTTCTGTTAGCCACAGTGTTGGAAGTGTGTTTGGATTGTCCTTACTGATTATGGGAATGGTAAAAAAGTGTCCAGAATCCACCTTATGTCCAGGTGGCACTGTACAGAGACAGTCATTCAAGTCACAGGGGCTGCATAGGCATCTTTGTGCAACCTAGCAAGCTGTAATGGCATTTCATCCCTCTTTGAAGGCAGGGATGGACTCCTGCTCTGATTCTTGCTGGCTAGTGCATGCAGTCACAAATGTCTTGGCTTGATAAAATCAGTTTAATTGGGAAAAGGCTTTGTTGAGCACAGGACAGCCACTGGGACGGCAGCTGGAACAGTCGCCTGGGATGTGGGCAGATGTTCAAGCAGGACTTCGTTCCCCCAAGTCAAACAGTGATTCAGCCTACGCTGTCTTCCATCAGTCACTGTTGTTGGAACCTTTCTACTACAAGCAAATGACTTAATAGTCATCAGGGTAAGGAGCTGGGCTGGCAGTGCAGTCAGGCGGTCACTGCAGTTAGCAGTGTGAGAGGTGGGTTCAGGACTCCCCTCCAACAGATTCACACAGTGTGACTGCTCCATCCGGAGGTTTGGAGCCTGATGGTGACCTGGGAAAAGTGCCTTGTGTGGGCCGAGGGCCCAGCACACGGGATTTGCAGGCTGAGCCTTCTGCATCGCAGATGCCATCTCAACCCAGCCAGCTGCCGGCTACTCGGGCAGACGGCCCGCCCTGCGGTCGCTTCCTTAACCACTCTGAGAGATCTTTTTTTGTTGTTTTCTTTGTCCCAGCACAGAATGGAAACTTGCTGAAGTCTCAGAAAAGGTTCAGAGAATGTGAAACGTTTTCCCACCCAGTTCTAGCCAGTGATCCTGTTTTCCTCCCTAGAAAAATATGTGCAGAAGAGAGGAAAAAGTCCCAGAGCATCCCATAAGCACTCTGTCTGGAGTTCTGCTGCACTCTGGTTTCTAAAGAATTCAATTTACATATGCAAGTTGGGTCGTCTAAACAGTTACCTTGTGGATTGGGAGTAGAAGAATGCAGCCTTGTCTTTCAGCGAGGATTTGAGGGAAGCATTAGTATTCCTTGAACTGTGAAGCTGATCAGGCCCTGGGGAGGGCAGAAAGGAGGGTCCCAGGACAGCATCTGGTGCCAGAACAAATGTCCAGCATCTGCTGCAGTCTGAGTGAGACGTGTGCTGCCGCTGCCCAAGGGGAGAGGGGAATAAGGAACTGGCTGTGCACAGAGCGTTAGTCGCTTCTTGCTGCTGTCTGTTGATGAAAGGACCGTCCGTGGATTTACTCTCATGATGGGAGGAGGAGGTATTTCTGAATTCTTTGGGTGGACTAGGGCTCGGGCAGGGAAGCGGTGGCCATGGTTGTGTTTTAGCAAGGAATTGGTGAGCATTTGCAGCCCATGTGCTTTGTGGGCTCAGCCACTTGGAAGGAAATTTCCCCAGTGTCCTTCTCTGATCAACACCACGTGTTGCTGTAGTGTCCTTTGGATGGCCCACAGCCCTCATGAATGCTCCCAACCACATGAGGCTGCCCCTCGTGTGAAAATGTGAGGTGTGCCCTATGGCTTGTCACTGGTCCCCTGTGATTTACCCTGTGTCACTGGGTAAATCAAAATTTGGGAAGAAAATCAGTTTCTGACTAATTTGTGAATGTGATAATTCACAGACCCAGTACCAAGTGTGGGCTGTGGCCCATAACTTCCTTCTGAGCCTTGGTGAGAAAAACTGGCATTCAGGGGAAAGCAACTGAAGGTTAAAAGGTCTCTGAGATGGAGAGGCACAGAAAAGTTTGTTTTAATTGTGGAAATTCTGGCAGATTAATGAACTTTTAAATCATTCCTTATTTTCGTTTCAACTTCTGAAACAAAGCTTCTGAACAAACCTTCTTTCAGAACAACAGCAGCCAAATTCATATTTTTGTTTGCTTCAAGAGTGGTGAAGGGGTGCTCTGACCACCCTGGTGCTAAACACTCTGAGGCACTCTGTCTCCATCCCTCTGTCTGAAAATTCTCCTTCTCTGTGCATTCACTGCTGGAAAAGTTTTGTGCAGTTTTTCCTTTGAAACATCACTGGATCTCAGATAGTACAGGATTTTGCTCATGTATTCAAATGACTGTCTGTCAGCTCACTCTGAGCACCTTGTCTGTGTGTGCAGCTCCATTAACATTTGTCTTTGCTGCTGCCTGTTTCCACTTGATGTTCATGTTTCATGTCCTCAGATCAGGAGAGTAGGCCAATTTTATTAAGAATGATCCTAGTGCTGTTAATCTGCTTTGGAGTAATAATTGTGAAAAGATTCCCCCTTCTTAACACAGTCATGAGTGCTTCCCTGTGTGGTTCAGTTCCTTTTACGTTTCACAGATGCTTCTCTTCCTGGGTGCATCTATTGAGAGGAGACGAATTGTTCATCTGTAGCACGATTTTAGGTCACAGGTTTTTTTCTCTGAAAACTTGCAAGATCTCAGAGGCTTTTATGTAAAGCGTGAACCCAACCTACTGGATCTACTGTCAAACATTCTGTATAGCCCAACAGTGCTTGCAGGAGCAAAATGAGAGCAGACACTAATACAATGGATATTACTGGTTTGGGGCAGGAGAAGTTCCAGGCCAGCTTGCCAATCTGACAGCTTTCAGCAGAGCTTTACATGGGGAAAGAAGGACTTTGCCTGTGTGCAGCCAGGAGGGTGCCCATGCTGGTTGCACCAGTGAAAGCAGGGATTCTGTTGGATGTCAGGACTTCTTCCCTCTGCAAATTAACGGTGACCAATGGCTGAACCAGCACTGTGGACATAAATCATTGGAAGGAGCAGCGAGAAATGAGTACAAGGCTTTTCTTTCTATTTAGTAATTTATCAAGGGAAGTGGCACATTAATAAACAGATCTCCCTTGAGGTGTGGGAGTAACAGAGATAAATATGACTGTCAAATCTGGCCTGCTTCCTTCTGTTAGAGAAGGAGAAGACTGTGGGAATGCAAATGCAGAAAGCAATAACTATATCTGGAAAGATGCATATTATTTGTAGGACAGAAACATTGACAACTCAGCCGAGATGGAGCCCCATTGCATTTGGTAGATGCAACAGATAGGAAATAAAGCACAAACCCTATCTAAAGGAGTTCATCTGAATGTATGGCGCCGGGAAATAGGGATGCAGAAAGATGGAGCAATCTGCCCATGGAGATGTAGCTGGGGAGGGCTGGGAACAGCACCCAGGTCGTCCAGGGTATGTAATGAATGAGGATACCTTATTGCCAAGAGAATAAATTAATGAGTTCTCATCAGTGATAGTAAATGCATTATTATGTTGTGGACAAAGTACTGTTTTCACCTTTACAACTTGGACCCAAGCAACCCTTGTGGTTGTTGTTCTGGGGCCCTGTCAGAGCCTGCATTTCATGGACAAAGTGTGAAATTTGGGTATTCTCCAATCCCAGTCTTTACAAAGGAACTTTGTTTACTCATTTTGGTTTTGCTTCCATAGCACCTCAGCACAGTGGTGTCTGCTTTTCCAGCTCCTGAGGGAAGCACCACTCACTGTGTCAGAACGGGGCAGGGCAGGGCTGGCCACAAGCATTCAGAAAGTTTGAGTCTGGTCCCACCAGATCGTGGGACAGCCTTAACAGTCAGGAGGTTATAGATTACCGTGTGCTCTTTGTGTTTGCTACCTGGTCCTTTAATTGAGTTTCCAAGCTTCTTCCCCACCCCTTGAGGCTGCAAAGCTGCAGTGAAGGAATCGCAGCCGGCAACTCTTGAAGCTTCCCAGGTGTAGGACAGAAGTCACAAGAGTGCTTGGTCCAACTTAACCTTATATTTCCAGAGTAACCTCATGCAAATCACTTACCGTGTGCAGAGAGGGACATTATGAGTAGCAGGGAAGCAGTGGCACTAAACCCTGGGCACAGCAAGGATGGAGCTACTTGGGTAAATGAGTCACTCACTCATTCCAAGTTCCAGGAGATTGAAGCCCATCCACTGGTCTCAGGAAAATGTTGACAAAAACTTTTGTGAGCCAGTACAAATCAAGGAACACCTTGTTCTTACTGCCAGGTTGTATTTTACCACCTTGTATGTCCCATTCACTCCTCTCATACCAGCACTTGTGTGCAGGGCAGAAAAATTTGTGCTCTTGCAAAGTGCCAGCTTTGTATTTGGTGAGATGCAACTGAAATCTGTCCCTCTGACTGTCTAAAGGAAAATAGTTTTCATTGCCTGTCTGGGCGAGTTACTGCTTCCTTCACAGCCTTTAAAAGGATGTAGCCACAGCAAGCCTGAATGGCAACTTCCCAGGAGACTACCACTGGAAAAAACAGGTAGTAACGCAGCACTGTGCTCACTTGAGTGGATTACCACTGGACCCTGTAGCATATTTCACCCTTAAAAGTCATTTTTAAATAATAGTCAACTCTTGGAAGCAGCTCTCCTTGCTTTGGAGGAACAAGCCCATCCAGGCAGGGCTGAGGCTTGGCGGCTTGGCCAGGCATTGGAGCCCATACCTGGTTATCGGGAGCTGCTGTGATGTTGCCCAGCCCCGGCTCCCATCTGCACCACCCTGTGACTTGCAGGTCATTTAGTCTTGGGCAGAGCTTCCTCAGGATGAAGTCAGTTGTTCCAGTTAGCAATACCGAAACGCTGGGGGAGGCCAAATTAGTACAGTAGTAACTCACTGTGTGTTGCAGATCCACAAATGGGACTGGCAGGGTTGGAAGTGACTTCATGCCTGAATGATTGACAATTGCTAATAGGGTCCAGGCCCTGGCAGATCTCCTTGGAGGAGGAGAGCTTGAACTTTTGTGCCTGAGCTGCCAAATTGGTTTTCTTAAAACTCCTAATTTACTTGTGAGGCTCCCAGAGTCTCTCACCCTGTGTTAATTGGATGGTCAGCATTGTGCTCACTTTCATTCCTGCTCCCTCTGCGCACCACTGCATGCATCACATCCAAGGGCTGCCTGGGTTCTGACGTGGTTCCGCTGGCCTCTGTTCTTCACTGAGTCAATGGGGTGGCTGTGCTCATAGAAATCCTTTGGGACCTTTTCCCTTTTAATTTCAAGTTAATTTAGTACCAATGAAAAACGATGACTGACAGGCTTCTGTTTACCCTCTGAGGAGGACACAGCATGCCGTGCTGCCTGCCCCAGGTCACTCAGCACTGAGCAGAGGGGAAGCCTCAGCTGCTGCCTGCTCTGCTTCTTGTACATCCCACAGCAGTCCTGAGCCAGCAGGTCTCAGCTCCTGCTCGTTGCCCTTCCTAAACACCCCTCTGTTCCCAGCACACTGATGACCACACCAGCGGTGGGCTGAGCTGGCCATTCGCATCTCCAAGTGATGGTGAGAGTGTGCTGGGAGGTCCCCCCACACCTCCTGAAACCCATCCTCAGCCACCAGGCATCTCCTTCCCCTCACCTGGCTGAAGGAAGGAGCAGCCTGCTGGTTTTGGCTGACAAAGTCTGTGCTTCATTCGCCCCTCCTCTCTCTTTTCTGCAGTGTCCCGGTTTTCAAGCCCACGGGTGACTCCGAGATTAAGCCGAAAACGAGCCCTGTCAATCTCCCCACTGTCTGATGCCAGCATTGATCTGCAGACGATGATCAGGACCTCCCCAAACTCCCTTGTGGCATATATTAACAACTCCAGAAGCAGCTCAGCAGCAAGTGGCTCCTATGGCCATTTATCTGCTGGGACAATAAGGTAATGCTTTGGGGGCAGAGCTATCTAACTGTGTAACCACCCTCAAAAGGACGAAGGGTGTCCTCTGACAAGGGAGATTCATTGTGCCCTTCCAGTACTTGAAGAGAGATTATAAACAGGAGGGGGACTGACTTTTTCACAGTGTAATAGTGATAGAATGGAAGGAATGGCTTTAAACTAGAGGGGAGATTTAGGTTAGATGTCAGGAAGAAATTCTTTGGTCAGAAGGCAGGGAGTCTGCCCCATCTCTGGAGGTGCTCAAGGCCAGATGGGATGGGCTCTGGGCAGCCTGAGCTGGTGTGGGGCAACCAGCCCACGGCAGGGGGTTGGCATTGGGCAGATGTTACGATCCCTTCCAACCCAAATCATTCCATGATTCTGCGAGACCCTCTGTTTGGAGAAATTGCCCCCAAAGTATTCTCAAAATTATTGGCCCACATTCTTAAACAAATGTTGCCTGGGTGGATTTAAGAGCCTGATTCTAAAAACATATCTGAAAAAAAATCTAAGCCCTTGAGTAAAGTTTTGCTCAAATCTTAATTAAAAAGCACTTACGCTAGGCAGCTTACTGTTGTCAATTCCTGCCGTGATTGCTTAACCCAAGTTTCACAATGTTGTTATTCTTTTTATTACTTAACTGTTAAATATGCTAGTTCTAATTAACATTGTTGTTGCAAAGCAAGGGTTTATAAAGATCCTGTGCTTTTAAACTTGTAGGGGAACACTGCCATTAGTAACCGTTACATTAATTTTATCAGTTACTTTATCTGACTGTCATTTAGAAATTGTAGAATGTAACATACTGCTAGCTTAGAAAAACAGTGATAGTCATTTTTGGACTTTGCTGTAACACAACAGTGCTGTGCAGCAGCCTGCCATCACACCTCATTTACTGCAGCACGCATTTGACTCCTAGAGCTCTATAACACTGCAGTGATTTTTGCCCATTATTCTTGTGGTCAAGTTGTCATTAACTAGTTTGGAAGAGAAATACTAATTGTGTGATCACCAGCAGTGCATATTTTCTCTAAAAACAAAACTGGAAATGAAGTCTGTTGCTAAGTCATTGCTAATTATGACCCTGTTCCCTGAGCACTTGCACCAGGGATAGTTTTAGTGACATGAGAAAAAGTACCATGAGGGGTGAGGACTCAGGGCAGCTGTATTTTAAAGTTGCCAAATAATTGATTTGGGGCTGAGAGTCTACACTTTGTGCATCCCTCACCTGGAGTAAAGGGAGCAGAGGATACTCACTGCACCTCCCGTGTTCCTCCATCTCTATCAACAGAATCGTAGAATCATAGAATCATTTGAGTTGGAGGGATCTTTAAAGGTCGTCTGGTCCGACTCCCTGCAATGAACAGGAACACCTACAGTTTGATCAGGGAATGTCTCCAAGGACAGGGCATCCACCACAGATGCATCCCTGGGGTATGAAACCCTTGTTTCCAGAAGCAGAGCTTCATTTTTAATGCCTCTGTCTGCTGCACCTTGGCTCCAGCCTGTTGCCTCTACCTAGCCCCAGGGAGTTGGTGGGGTTTCTGATCACTGCTGACCTAGATTGGGGCTGAACCAGTGACCTACATATAAAGGGTGACATACTTCAGCAATCCCCTGAGCCAGCATGTCCCTCACCTGAGTGCAAAGTAAACTACGTGTTCTGGACTATGCTAAATGGCTTGTGATTCACCCTGGCTGTGATCTCTGCCAGGTGAGCCAGGTGATGCTGGGGTTTCACAGCCCAGGCGGCTTAACCCTGAGCTTGCAAGCCTGCAGAATAGAATTGGGAAAAGCTGAGGGACATGGGGCTGCAAAGCCAGATGTGTTCTGAGTTCCCTGCCAAGGGCTTTGGCTGTTTTTAAACATAAGAAGCAAAGGAATTACGGTCAGTCTGATACATGGGCCAGAAAGTTTGCTGAGGTTCACACGAGACAAAGCTTGTTTTTGCAGCAAAGCACAATAGCAAAGCTTATTGTTGCATTGAAGCATCTACCTGTGACACTGCATCCTCTAAGATGTCCTGGCCAAACTCAGTCAGTCACTAGCCAAAGTGCTAAACGCTGTTTGGAATAATTCCTCATCGTTTCTTCTCCTCCCTCCACTGCAGCCCTGCATTCAGCTTCCCCCACCCCATCAACCCTGTGACGTACCAGCAGATCCTGACCCAGCAGCGAGGTCTGAGCTCGGCTTTCGGGCACACTCCTCCCCTCATCCAGCCGTCTCCCACCTTTCCCCCTCGGCAGCACATGGCCGTCATCTCCGTCAACCCACCTCCAGCACAGATCAGCAGCAACAGCAACTGCATCTCCGACTCCAGTCAGGTAGGGGTGGCTCTCACCTTCCAGCACTCTTTATTCCTACTGACAAAGCATTTCTGGACTTGTCACAGTCAGATTCTTCACCCACCCCCCTACTTGAACACCCACACACTCACATACCAGTGCAGGAGCCAATGGCCTTGATCCAGCGAAGCACTGAATGTGACACACAGGGCCATCTCAGGCAGCAATTCTCCTTGAGCACCTGTCACATGCTGCTGAAATCAGTGGGATTTGGCACATGCTGAAGTGTTTTGCCACATAAGCACATGAATGCTGTGAATCAAGCTTTGTTGGTCTTTCACCTGTCCCTCCTTCCTTTTTTTCTACTGATGTGGATCATGCAGATAGTTTTAAAGCACGACTCCTTCCCTCACAAGCAGGTAAGTGCATCCTGTGTAGGACCTCTCACCATTTTAGATATTGTTCCCTTTTTTCAGTTGTCACTTTCTCTCTCGTGTCTCTGCTGTTGATTTTAAATTTTACAGAATCAAAGGCCACATTTTGAGAATTAGGAATGCTGCAGTGTATATGAAGTCATACACCTCACCTGGTCCATACTGATATCTGTGCACTCACACACATGTCTCTGTGTGCACATGTCCTCCCTACACACATATGCAGTGAATATGCGTAGCACATTTTTTAACATTTTTTTTTTCTCCTTTTCATTCCTTTGAAGTTTAAACTGCAATTGCTTTTCTCCCCAGAGATTTACTTCACCTCATTTCACACCCATTTCAAATTGTTGTTTTAGTTGCACTATACTGAACTTCTTAGACTGGTTTATTGTTTTAGGATTTCTTATGGCTGCTGAACTGCAAACTCTGTTTGTTATTGAAGGTTATTTGATTGATTGGTTTTGTTTTCTTCTCACAAACCGGCTACCAAAATAATGTGGCTGATAGGAGTTATGCCTCTGTTTAATAACTTGCATGACCAATCTTGAGCAATTAGCAAGAGTAGTGTATTTAAAATGTTAATGTTCCAATTTTATGAACATACAATGGGATTTTTTTTCTCATGAAGTTGTTTTCATTTTTTAAGAGCTTAGCAAAATATACACTCTGCCTTTCATGCACCCGGCATGAAGGAGCCCTCACATGTAACCAGAGGCCCCCACTCTTCCTGGGAATTCATTTTCTCAACAAGTCATTTCATCACATTGAGAAATAAAATCATGACTTGGGTGAGTCTTACATAACATTTTCATGGATCTGACAGGGATTGCATCGTTCTGAAAGAGCCAGGCTTGTTGATGAGCTTGCAGAAGCTGATGGTGCCCTTTTATTTTCCCCTCTCTCTGCCTTGCAGAACCCACACAGGCTAGTTTTCACATGAAGCCCATGGCAGCAGGGCAGCATGCCATTGTCCCCATCCACTCTTGACGTTCAACTTTGATTTTTTAGTTAACTTTGAACAACGCTGTGGCTGCACTGAGTCTCTCATCCCAAACCCTGTACCACATCTTGCCTGGTTTTCCTTCCTAGAGCAAGCAGAGCAGCGAGTCAGCCGTGAGCAGCACCGTCAATCCTGTAATTAACAAGCGCACCAAAGTCAAGACCGAAGTCGAGGGCTTGCCCCCAGTGTCCCCAACCACGCAGGTAACCTCCTTGGTGCGAGACGTGTTGGGGCCCGAGGCAGCAATGCTGCTGGGTCTTCTTGCCTCTGGGAACGATGCTGTTGGCATGTTTTGATGCAGTGACTGAGTGAAGCATTCAGTGGGTGCTTAGGACTCAGCATGCAGCTGCTGTGGTTGGATGCAGACAGAGGAGGGAGGGAATATCTGAAGCATGATAACTTTAAAAAATAGCATTGGAGTTTTCTGTGCTGCAAAGCAAGCAGTATTGGTGTTTCAGAGCAAACATAGATTACAGGGGATTCTTGCATGTAGGTAGAAAGCTTGCGAAAAAAAGGACTCCTTGATTCAACAAGGAATTGCTCCTAGCAACATCCTTTACACCAGTGTCACATTTGACACCAAGAAGGGTCCAAAGCCCCTTGCTTTCTTCCCAGAGCTCTGTGATTGCAAACTGTTTAATGGCTGACAGTATCCATCTGACCATCCTTTATCACAACTGTAAACTATCAGGAGTGCTCTGGGCACTTCATTTTCATGAAATATTAGGCCATGTTATTGTCAAGCGAATGGAAGAGTTGATGACAAATTTCTCCTCCTGCCCTGGTTCAGGAGCAGGTCTCAGCATGATGCATGGGGACAGCAATGTGTGCAGTCATCAGGGGGCTGGTAAAATTGATGAAGATAGCATATCAGGGAAAGATAAACATGCTGTAGTCAGCACGATTAGGGCAAAGAGGCATCTCTCTGGAGCTTTGAGTTTAGGAGCGCATCCACACACTGCTGGAAAAGCACATGCCCCAAAAAACCAATCTGGCCAACACCTAGGCTAATAGACAACATGTTTCTTTCCTGCAGCAAATGAAAAAAGATTTGAAAGCCGTCACCAGCTTTCTAAAGCATCTGTAGCAGAGGAGCTGTGGGACAGACAGCTACTTCCTTGATGGCTGTCGTTGACAGCAAGGAGTGCCTGTAAAGCACCAGCCTTCTCTCCCTGCAGCTCTGCCCCAGTGCTTCATCCACTGAGTCCCACGTGAAATAAGCACTGCAAGAAGGGAGGGAATTGTTTAAAGTGGTGCACAGAGGCTTGATTAGAAGAACAAGGTGAAATTAAGAGAAAGAAAATGTGTTCTGGTTATCTAATGGTTCCTGATGAGGAAATGTGTGGAGTAATAGCCCAAGGGAAATGTAGGTTTCACATCTTGCAGCATTTCAGTATTGACTGAGAGATTATTGGAAAACGCCTTGTGAGAGACAGTCCATTCCTGGCAGGGAGATCAGGTTAGAAGATTGAATGTCACGGGTGTCTCCTTTTAAGCTGGTCTAAGCAACAACCAGCTTTTGAAATTTGGGGATTTCCATTCTGCAGGAGACTCTGCTGAAAACCTGATTACTGAGGAACAGCCATCCCAAAAAAAGCATCCATATGTGTGTTTTGTTTTGGAAATGCTGCATTAGAAAAACCTCATATGAGTTGTGGTTCGGGTGTCTAAACTCCTTGTCCAGACAGTATCTCCCATGCTGGTGTGTGCTATAAAAAATGTGATCCAGACAAGATCCATGGAACACAGTGAAGCATCAGGCAAGACAGATCTGAGTTATTGTGCTCTTATGATACCACAGTAGCTCCAATGCAGGCTCAGATTAATGTTGAACTAGCCAGACATGAAACGTGTCAATCCTCTTCAACAAATTAAAAAGGTTTCTGTTCAGTTTTTTCAGCAGAAAGTAGAAACTTTTTGGCAAAATGATATTTTTAGGAAAAAATTTCACTTTTTCAGAGACAGCTTTTTGTGGAAAGAAACATCTCAATAAAAGTATTGTTCACAGCTCAACCAAATAGAGCTGCTGGAAAAAGAAAGTTTGAACTCTCTGAGACTATTGCTCAGATATACTTTAAATTTCTAGAAATCTTTCTGTGAATTTCTACAGTTTCCTTTCCCAGGAGCTACCTTGCAATACATATATATATACACACACGCATATATATATATACATATATATATATATGTATTTAGATGAAGAGCTAATTAAAACAAATCTCTTCCTTTCCATATCTAAACCATTGAACTGAAAAGTCACAGCTGGCATGTATGTCATGAGCTAGTTAATGAAAATGGTTGAACTCTCATACAGCAGATCTTACTTTCCAAGCCATAGAATGCCGTTAAGTCATTAATCATCGCAGCCTCTCGGTAGGCTTTGCAAAAATGTTGATGGAGAAGGAGATGGCAGCCAAATAGGTCCGGACCATCTGCGCAGGTCAGAGACAATTTGAGATGGGTGGCCAAATACTTATGGGGCCAAGCGGAGCATCAGATCACAACAAACAATGTCTGATGGAGTCAGTCACCCCAGGTGCTCCTGTGCCCTAGAGGTGGGATGATCTGTGCTGGGCAGAGGTAG